CCATTCTCCTCTACTCTATGATTACTTGAAACCATTATATGATTATATGAAACCATAATATGGTTACTTGATGCTATTGTTACTATGATGCTACAACATCACATTATGATTAATAAAACTATATTATGATGAAATATTCGGACTATATTTAATCATAATATTATATCTTATTATATTAATAATGTTTTTTGATACTAATAATAATCATAATTTGTTTTAACTTTAATCATAATTCTAACCATAATATGTTGCTCTTAGATTATGGTTACCACAACCATATTTTTTATCTGTGTGTAGGCCACCATTTTCTGTTTAATATATTGTAGAAATATACAAAATAACCGAAAAAATTGGAAAAGTCTACATACAGATACCGCGGAAAATGTAATTTTTTCTGTTGGAGAAAAAATTTGAACGGATATGAGACATGATTTAGAAGTTAGTGTCATCATTGTACAAGATGTTAAAATGTATCTGTAAATGCACAAACTATACAAAATTTTCATCATCTGAATCAATATAAGTCATGTGTTCCACCTAAGAAAGTGTTTATTTCTGTAAAGAATGTGAAGAACGCTTGGAGTATCCCAATATTTAAGTTAGGTTAGGTTGATAGGAGCATGTATTTACATCAAATCCGAAGAAATACAACAAGGCCACTATCGGGCCTGTTGTGCGCTCCTTTTCATGGAGAATCATTGGTAAAAACAAAAACCTTATATTGTATTCACTAAATGTATTATCGTCCGATGTTCAGAAACTCAGTTTCCTGGAAGTAATTCCTAAGAATTTTTCAATCAGTGTTCGTGAGGGATATTATATCCGGAATTATATCACCTCCAAGATATTTGGATCTAATTTCGGCGAAAGCCTGACAATGGCAAAGAAAGTGATCCAGAGTATCACTGTCTTATCTACATGCTCTACATTCGACTGAATCCGCACGTCCAATTTTGTATAGGCGTGCCCGTAATCCTGTGTGTCCACTCAGCTGGTACGTGACTTGTTCATTTTAAGGAGGCTTCTCGTCCTGCTCTCGTTAGGGTCACCCCATAGAATCTTTGTGGTTCTACCCACGGTATCATTATTCCAAGAGTCCTTATGGGTTTCTTTCACCCATAATTATAATTCTGCTCTCGTTGCGTCAAATGGTTTTGCATTCGTCAGGTTAACTACTTCGAGTTCCCTTCTCTTTAAAGCTATTACATTCGCTCTTTCATTGCCGACTACTCCCAATTGGCCTGGTACCCATATGATGTGAACCTTACCACTGGGAGAGTGTTCGGTTAGAGCTTTTTTACAATTCAATGTGGTTTTAGATTTAACTTTATCACCTGATATCGCCCCAATAGCCTTCTAGCTGTCGGTAAATATGTTAAGCCCTATGGGCGCTATATCTCGGACTTCTGCCTGGAAGCCAGTGTTATGATTAGGTAAACGGTGGTATATTTCCGTTTCTGGAACTTCAATATGACAATCCAAGCACAAGTTCCGCTTGACCAAGACATTCTATCTCGGATCAGCGTTTCAAAGTTTCCGACATATTTTGTCTCTGGTATGCGATCGGGCACGTCCGATGATTGTTATAGCCTTCCAATGTGTCCAGTATACATTGATGACGTGTCCTATAACCGCTTTTGGCCAGTTATGAGCCGTTCGGATGTAAGTGCCGCCTCATATCTTATGTATGTTTCAATGGGTGGAATATCTAGCATTGTTTCCAGAGCCTTGGTTGACGTAGTGCTCATGGCTCCACTTATACCCAAGCATGTACGCAGAACTACCTGTAGTAGTTTGATTTCCTACTTATTTTCCTGAGAAGTCCACCAGATTATTGAAGCATAACTTAAGATTGGTCTAATTACACTTTTATAGAGCCAATGTGTCATAGTAGGACTACGGCCCCATTGCATGCCTATGGTTCTTCTACATATCGCCCAGCACCGATGTGCCTTGTTAATCCTTTTCTCTATGTGGTGACTCCATCTTAATTTCCGGTCAAGTATTACACCTTAGTATTTAACTCATACTCAGAAATTTTTGTCTTTCTTGTGAAAAAACATATTTCTGTCTTCGCCGGGATAACATTGAGGCCTCTAGGTTGAGCCCAGCTCAAGGCCGTGTTCAGAGCCTCCTCAGTCCTTCTACACAAGTAATTTGGATCCTTTCCCCTTACAAGTATTAGAAGAAGTTCTTTCTCGGTTAGGGTCATTTATCGTTAGGAGGCTATTTATCGTGGTTACCCAGAGTAAAGCGGACAAAATGCCGCCCTGTGGTATACCGCGAAATACCCTTTTCCTGATAGTTAAATAGTACATCTCACATGTTATCCATCTGTTCCTTAGCATGTGGTTGATCCAGTTACGGAGCATTCGGTCAACATAAAACTGTTCTAAGGATTGGATAAGAGCATCAGTGTGTACGTTATTGAAGGCGCCTTCGATGTGGTGTCGCATAGCTGGGTTACCCTTGCATCCTGCCATTTAACAGATGTACGGAAACCAGTCCTGCCTCCGCCTGCAAAAGTGCCGGGTTGATGGCATCCTTAGCCATGAAAGTTGTAATAACTATTTCTGTGTTAGCCACTTCCTCCAATATTGCTTTATTTATGGTACCCCATATTCCAGGTGGGAAATGAGAGTCCATTATGAGTTTCATTGTCTCCTCCATATCCTCCAGCCCGTGTCATCAACCATAGATTCCGGTTGGACATGAGTTTTGGATAGGAATTTTGTATCTTCGATACGTCATTTACGCTATCTACCTGTTCACAAAAAAGTTTCCAGGAGTCTCGTTTGGGTTTTCGAACAAGTTTACTACGATAGTCATCCCAGTTAAATAATTTGCGAAGAGTCTTTCCAAGGCTCCGTATCTCCCCAATTACCCAAGGTTTCTCCTGAGCAGATCTCCGCTCTCGCAGAGGTCTGCTGTCCTCGAACGATTCAACCAGGGCACTTGTGAACGTTTCTACTTTGGCGTCTATATCCTCTTTATTTCGATATTAAAAGTGTTCTGTCCTAATCCCAATATTACGCAATCAAAGCGGAATGCAGCTGGAAAACTATATTTTACAGATCGAAGTAAGTACAATTTTCGGATCAGAAAGCCGAAGATTTGTGTGGCGTAAAGAAAATGCCGCTTGTGAATTTAAAAAATCATAAAGAAAGTGTGAAATTCGTTGGTGGTATAGTAAAAGTGAGGGTTTTAATGTCTTTAGGATGTTTCAGAAACATCATATTCAGGGAAGGACAATGGATATCATACTTAATTAAATATTTTTCAACAACATTTGGAAGCCAATGTAGTAAAATTATTCATAGGAGACGATTTTCAGTTCGTTTATAATAACAACTAGAGTTTGGGGTTCGGGAAATCCCGTCCGGGAATTCTCGGGAAAAGTTTGTCGGGATTTCCCGGGAAATTTTTTTTAATCATTCGCGGGAAAACGGGAAATTTTAAGTAAACGTATATGTAACATATTTTGGAAAAATAAGCGATTTTATAATAAAATATTTTGACATGAATGAATTTCTAAAGCCAACGTCTGTGGAAAGCGTTTGAGTTATATCAGTAGCTGGAAATTTTTTCAGAAAATAACGGAAAAGTTGATCTCTTCTTATATTTAATTAATTCTAAGAATTATGAATGAATGTTATTAATTTAATACTTAACTATTCCTCTGCCTATGGAGTATATGATCTGTTTAGTATTCCTATGGTACGCGAACTATCTGACCAAAGTTGGCTATGAAGTAACTGCCAAAAAACAGTTTCTCTTAGCGGCTAGAGCAGGACATTCTCAGAGAAGATGGAAGACAGTTTCTTCCTTTTCACTGCAACTGCGACAGTACTCATTGCAGGGTAGCCCAAGCCGACTTGCATATCTGCCTAGCACTCAGTGTGTTGTTATTACTGTTATCAATCGCGTAATTCAGGTTATAATGTGTCATTGAAAGAAGGCCACAATGCCTTCCAATTATTACTGCTCTTTATAATACCTAACGGAGTTGTTACTGAAACGACGTTGGAGATATCAAGAACTATAATATAAAAGCCGGACAGATCATATTTGCATTGTCTAAATAATAGGGAAGTAGTATAAGAGTGAGTGTGAGTGGAAGAATATTTCTATATTGCCGCGAATATTGAGATTATGTATTACCCTACAGGCTTGATTTAAATAAGTATGTTTAAAATTTTCCGTTGGCAAAAATAAAAAATGGTTTGGTTTGTTCTCAAAAGAGGGAATATTTTAGATATCGCTAAATTTATAAAAAAAAGTTGACTGCTTTTGTTAAAAATGGTGTTATTATAGTTATAAATTAAGTTTTATATAAATGAAATGAATTTATTCATTCCCGTTTCCCGGGAAATTGAAAAGTCCGGGAATTAACAAACTCTAATAACAACCCAAATCGCTCGTCGAAAATTTAATGTGAATGGTTACGTGACAACGTAAAAGAAGTACTTCATACCCTTCTCAGAGTCGAGATCTTAATCCCATAGAACACATATGGGGAATTTACAAAACATAGAGTACTATTTAAAATTTTTGCAATTAGAAAATTAATTAGGAACGTATTACCTATCACAAGAAATATTTTTTTGTAAATCGGACAAATATTTTAGAAAATATTATAAAATATGTTTTTAAATACATGCTGTACGGACAATTGTTTGAATCAGTGTATATCGAAATATTGGAAAAAATATATTTCTTTAAAAATTATTTTAGTTTTGTTCCATGAATAAAGGGAATTGCCATATTGAAATTAGAAAAATATAACTATTTTTTAATTTAATAAATCCAAATGGAATTTACTTCTTTTAACTGCAGAACCTCTATTTTTGCACTAAAATTATTTTTTCTTTGACATTACATTTTCATACATGATGTATTTTTAGATAATGATGAACAAAACAAAATTTCGAACTCCAAATTTAGTTTTTTCTTGAAATAAACACGGTGATTAAAAAAACAATAATATAATATGTACTTACTTTGGGCAGCATCTCGTTTAGCCATTTTTTTACTATGGCCTACTCCACGTGCAACAATATCATTTGAACTAATTTCCATTACAAATTGTCGTCTTCGTGAGTTTTCTTTTCCTAATTCATTAATTAATTTAAAGGTAGGCTCTTTTTCTTTTTTATTTTGATGCCATTCCAATAATTTAGTTATAGGATTTACTGAGTCTGTTTCTGTAGTTAGTTTTTTATTTTTATTCCAAGTGCGATCGGTTTCTTCTCTACATTCAGCTAAATTTTTAGGTCGAACACCTATGCTTTTTTTAGGTGCATTTTTTAATTTAACTCGTTTTGCTGGAGATGTAACAGGAATAACAGGTGGTAATTTGTTTAACTCTTCAAGCATCTTTTGGGCTGCCCTTTTTTTTGAAACTTTTTTGCCAGTACCTTCACCTTCAGTTATTATATCGCCAACTATACAAGCTGTAATAAAAGTTCGCATATGTGCGGGACCTTCCTCGCGAAGTACTTTAAAATCAACAGGTAAATTTCTTTTTATACCGATTTCGAAAACGAGCGATATAGGCGATTTATTATCAGTGTCTTCCAGACTTTCATTGTGGGATTCTGCCTCTTCGTTATTTATTTGTTCTTTTAGCACTTGCAAAGCATTTGCAGCGGCATTATGCTTTGCTTGTTGAAGTGTCCTTCCTACGCCTATAAATTTCTTTGTACCAACTATAAGTGTAATTTTGCATGGAGATGTAACAGGAAAGTACGTGGAAGCAAGAGAATTCGATTTAGGAGAAACATTGGAAACAGAGTGCTGGAATCGAATTTGATATTTAGACGAAAACGGTCTTTTTGGGTTAATAGCTGGAATCTGCTTCGATATGTTTGTCGAGTTTGGGAGAAATTTAGCAACGCTCTTATCAATATTTTCTGATTGCTGTATGATTTTACTATATTCCAAATGCTGAAATGTTGATTTATAATTGGTTTTCGATATATCATTTTGTGTAAAAATGTTTTCCTGTAAAGTTGTATGTCTGGGATCAAAAATATAATACGTTTGCTGGCCTAGTTTCATAGCGAGCGCGTTTAATTCAACTGTAGGTGTAATATTGGATTTTGTAACATTGTTGTCATCACTTCGACGACTAGCTTTAGGAGTTGGGTGCTTGTACTTTGTTTTTTCTATTGCTTCTTTTGCGGCTAAATGTTGAGCCTTTTTAATTTTAAATCCTTCTGCAGTGTATTCCTCATCTCCTAACTTAAGAGTCACCGTAAAACGTTTACAATGTGCTGGTCCATTTTCACTGGTTAAACGATACTGAAATGATATCTAAAGAACACATTATTAATAATATTTTGTTGTTATCAAAAATACCGAATTTTTCAAAATAGTTTTTAGTTTTTTTCTCCGGTGGGTTAGTGATTCGTATTCTATTCTATTAGACCGGAGGTCGTGGGTTCGATTCCCACCAGATACACTGGTAAAGGAGCGCACAATAGGACCGATGGAGGTCTAGGTATATCCTATATCAGGGCGGAGTTATCGAATCCCTGGAAAAAAGCTGATGATCTTTGAAAAATAAAGTATTTTTATTTTTCTCGTTTTTTAATACGTAACGTTTGAGACGTTTTCCCACAAAAAGTGGGAAAGGATATTCGATATCCTTTCATCGTTTGAACCCACCTCAATTGAATTTAAAAATTATCCAAACAGTGAAAAATTACTTTAATTTTTATTAACTTTATAATTGGTAATTGAATCAATTTGATTGTTTAAAACACTGAAAGATACGTCGCGCAGCGCTTTATCCCATAGGCGAAATTCTTTTTGTTTGTGTATCGAATATATTCACGCAGAGAAAAAACATGGTTAAAATTATGATTGTATTTTAAACATATTATCGTTATTGTATGTAACAATTTTAAAATATCATATTATGATTAAATACCGTGGAAATATTTTATCAAATTTTTTCCTATTTATCATAATATTGATATTGATCATATTACGATCCAATGTGATCAAAATTTCGTTTTAAAATATATACTGAATTAGTAAAATTTAGAGCTGCTCGATGTTAATCGATGCATCGTAAATATCGATGTTTTGGTTTCGATACATCGTTTAAATGTCGATGTATCGTATCGTTAATCGTATGTTAATCGAAACATCGATGTTTTTTATTCGATGTATCCCAGCAAAAAATAATTGATGTCATACTTTACAAACGACGTCTTAATCACATCTAAAAATGCGATAACATATTTTTCGCTTTTATAAACCAAATATTTCATTACAAATGAAACCCACTTGCAAGTGAAGAATGAGAAAAGTCACTACAAATAAAATATTCGAAGTCCATCAAATTTTGGTGAAAGGCTATGAAATTTACATAAGCGTGTCATTGAAAGAATGTGCTTTATTTTTGACTTTCAAATATAGGATTTCTAATAATAAGATTAGATGTAGTTCAAAGTTGTCAAAAATGAACAACATCCCTCCAATGACACTCTAATGTAAAATTCATAGGCTTTTCACCCGAATTTGAAGTAGTTCATCTACATCTTTTTCCACACTTTTTTTGCTGGGATCGAAAGGCTGAAATGTAAATTTACGCATCCGGCTGCTTTTGTTTATGTAGATTTTTTTTTGTGTTTCATAAAAAAAATTTCAAATTATTAAAGGCAAAACAATGTCCGAATTTTGTTGCGATTGTTCAGTTCAGAATTTGTATATATATTTAAAATTTTGTTTTTTCTATCCATATATATATAACTTGACGTCTTCAGCATTACCGTTGGAAAATTACGAAAAGTCGCACAAAAAGGGGATTTTTCGGAAAAAAGTCGCACTAAAAGAGGACTATTAATGTAAAAAGTAGGCGTCATGAAATAACTCCCCACGAAATAACTCCCCAAAACAAAAATGAAATAACTCCCTAAAAATTTGTTCAGAAAGCAAAAACAACGAAATTTGGGAATTTAATTCGTTTTTTGGGGCATTATTTCACATTTAAAATGGGGAGTTATTTCATTATGAAATAATTTCTCAAAATTCAAAAATGAAATAAATCCCTAAAAATATTTTTGGGAAGTTATTTCATTTTATTACTTTTTTCACACGAAATAAAAAATTTATGTATGATAGCCGGCCTTTGGCCGGGCGCAAGGGTTTTATCCTCTGCGGTACATTGGACACCGGCTTCGCTAAGAATACACTCTCCCTGTATCAAGAGTGTTCGGCCTTAGGCCGGTATTTTAGGAAATCTTTACTAAGCGAAGCCGGTGTTATTATAGAGTGGTAAATCCCCAGTAAAAAAATTTTAGACTTTAGGAAGCTAAAAAGGGAACTAACTGCATCTGTATTCGCTTACTATTAAGCCTTACTGAGAAGCAGGAAATAAGGGAATACCAATGATAGGAGTAATTCTACAATGTATGCTGAAAAAAATTAAAAGCTTACTACTATCCCTTACAGAGAAGCAGGTTGTAAGTGAAGTATTTAAATAATATTTAAGCTTACTCTTGTCCCTTACAAGGAAGCAGGTTGTATTGCAAAGACTATTGAAATCGGCAGTTTTACCGAAAGATTTTTATTATAAATATAAATCTATAAAGTGATTTTAATTAATTAATACATTTTCAATGTAAGAAATATCTTCTTTTTAAATTTATTAAAGTGTGTGTTTATTATAGTGTATGAACAGAATTTAAATAATTTTTTGAACGAAATATTTTCAATTATTTGCTTTTTCTTGTTTCTGTTTTTTAATACTTCTGCTTTTGTCCATGTACAGTTTGTGTTGTTTTGTTTTGTGTATATGTTTTGATTTGTAGAAAAGTTAACGGAGTTTTGTTTTTTCTTTTTGAAATAGTTCTGTTGTTGTTAAATAATAAATTTAATAAATTAAAAATAAAAGAGGTAAATAAAAATTTATTTAATCTCTTGAAGGCAACAGAAAATAGTCCCGAAGAAATTCCAAATATCGATATTGTTTTTAATTTTGAGAATTCAGAAGTAGATGTAATAGCTGATGATAAAAATGGGACATTAAGAGAAAATATAAGGGAATGGTATATAAAATATCGCCCATCTGCTGCAGCTATGAATTCACGTCTTCTGGAAAAGCATTAGGGAAGAGCTTTTTGTAAACAATGAAAGAAGTACTGCCATAGAAACATGAAATAAGTACTTAGCTGTTACTCACAGCTGAATGTAATGAGTGAAAACACGCTTCATTTTTTAAAAACTAATGCTTCCAAGTGGGAATTCGCTATATAAAAATCATGCCTTATCGAAGCAGGTTTGTAAGGGAGAAAATAGCTTCGTTCCCTTACAAACCTGATTGCACGTAAGCTCCAATTTTTACTGGGTCCTTGCGTCCAGACGCAGGCCGGCTATTTAGGAAATATTTATTAAGCGAAGCCGTTGTTGGACATAGCATAGAGTAGAAAGTCCTTGAGCACGGCCGCAGGCCGGCTATTAGGGGAACCTTTATAAAGCGATTACACTCAAATGTATTAAACTTTGAAGCCCCATTCGAAAGTATAAGCGACCTACTTTTTTAGAAATGTCACTAAAACCGACTTGTTTCATAATTTGTTATTTTTAAATGGGAACTTATTTCATTTAAAATTAGGGATTTGTTTGATATGAATTAAATCCCCAAAAATGGGGTGTTATTTCATTTTAATTTAGGAAGTTATTTAATTTCGTTGGGGCTTTTTTTCATTTTTTAATTGGGGAATTATTTCGTAATGAAATAAGTCCCCAAATTTGAGGACTTATTTCATTTTTGTTTTGGGGAGTTATTTCATGACGCCTAAAAAGTGTCAACGTAGGCAAAATCGTTTTATTTGTATTTAAATGTACATTAAATTGCTAAATAAATCAAAATAATTAACCATGATACAACCATTAAAAGGTAGAATGAGTAGAGAGAGTTTTGTACAGAACTTGTTTCTATCGAATTTCCTTTCCTAAAGGGAACCTTATACAGGGACTATGATCACTTATAGATCAATCCTCATCAAATTCGGAAGAAAGTATTATGTTCCTATAAAGCTTATGTCGATTTTCATCGCTGTTCCCGTAACATTCTGAAGGTGGCTTTATATATGAGGGGTAGGTTCAATTATGGACCGATCCTCATAAAATTTGGTAGACCGATTCTGTTTTATATACATCCTGTATATATCGAATTTCTTCACTGTGCTCGTATTTTTAAACCAGTAATGAGCGTTAAAGTAACTTTCTGAAGGGGATATACGAGGGTAGGTTCAATTTCCGACCGATCCTCACTAAATTTGTTAGAGAGGAACTACTTGCTTAAGTCAGTAATGAGGGTTCAAGACATGTTCTATGGGGGGTAGGGTCAATTTTGGACCGATCTTCTTAAAATTTGGTAGAGAGATTTTGGGTCAAATGAAACTTATTTATGTCGAATTTCGTCGCTATTTTCGTACTTTTAAAGTATCAGTTTATAAAGTTAAAAATAAACTTTGCGTGCTGTAAACATCCGTTTATATGAATTATTTTTAACAATCAGATATTTTTTTCGAAATTAATTTTTTTTTTTTATTACCCACAGATTATTTTTAAAGCATAACAAAACATTACTTGGAATTTTCGAACTTAATTTCGAATATTCGAACATAATGTCGTATTGTAATAAGATAAATTTATGACTATCAAGTTTCAACAATTTCGGTGTACGGGAAGTAAATTTTTTACAGCTTTTTTCGAACATAACTTCGAATTTTCGAATTTAATTTCAAATATTCGAATATAATATTGTATTGTCGTCAGGGATACTCATCACTGTTAAATTTCAGCATTTTCGGTCTGCGAACACAGATTCTTCTTTTTTCGAGCTTTAATTTGAACTTTCGAATTTAATTTCGAATATTTGAGACATCATTCGCATACAAATTAGTATTTTGTGTACATATTTTCATTTAAATTTTTTTTACCAACACTGAAAATAACCTGAAAACAAATAATTTCTATGCCAAGGATAAGGGTTAGGAAAACTGGGTTATTTTTTTGCTTATATTTGTTTTTGTTAATATAACTTTTTACTGAGTAACACGATAACCAAGCAACTGTAAATAACCTTAATTAAATAAAATTCTTTACAGGAAACTGTAATATGGATTAAAATATTAAATTACTTATCAATGTACCGGGAACAATAATAATACTAAACATGTAAGAAATTATAGTCGGGCGAAGCCGACCATATAATATCCTACACCTGTTAGAAAAATAAAATGTGATTTAGTTTTCATAATAAAGCATTTAAGTTGAATTGTACCTTGCCTTGAAAT